GCGGCTCTCCCTCTCTGCCTGGGCACAGAGCAGCTGCTGGTCAGGGCCCCACAGGTGGCCCATGCGAGCTCTGACACTGAGATCTCAGGCAAGGCCTGACCTGATCCTTGCCTCAGTTTCCCCCCAAGACCATCTGGGAGTTGGCTAGAAGAGCAACAGCCATGGCAGCATCCCCCAAAGGGCGGGGTTAGGCCTCCTTTAATGGGGCACAAATGCCCATTTTTTTATTTTTATAGTTAAAATGTATGTTGATGAGTTCTAGGTAAAAACCTATAAATTGTCGGAACCCATGATTTTATAGATGTTATGGCTGAGGATATTACAAAGTAAAAGAAGTTCTTTGTTTTAAAAATATATTGGGAGTCCTGGCCGGTGTGGCTCAGTTGGTTGAGTGCATCGTCCCATACACCAAAAGTTCGCCGGTTTAATTCCCAGGCAGGGCACATGCCCGGGTTATGGTCTAAATCCTCAGGATGGGCCATGCAGGAGGCATTCTATCAATATTTCTCACACCAAGTTTCTCTCTCTCCCTCTCCCTTCTCTCTCTAAAATCAATAGAAATATTTTTATTTAAAACACACACACACATTTAGGAGAGCCATGGCTGATGTGGCTCAGTTGGTTGAGCACTGTCCTGTACACCAGAAGATGGCAGGTTCAATTCCTGATCAGAGCATACACCCAGATTGTGGGTTCAATCCCCAGGTGGGCATGTGTGGGAGGCAACTGATCGATGTTTCTATCTCACATCAGTTTCTTTCCCTCTCTCTTTCAATCAATAATTTTTTAAAAAGGTCTAAAAGATATATATGTATTAGGAGAGATGAAAAACAGGTGAGTGATTTGCCAAAAGGTTGGGGGAGGGAGTGGCTGTGGCTATAAAAGGGCACCAGGGGGACCCATGTGGGGTGGAATATTCCGAGGTGGTGGGTACACACATGTACACATGACAGAGCTGTATAGAACCAAATACACATGTGCACACGCAAACACAACTGGGGAAACATGGGTCACAAGCATCCTGCTGTGACATATAGCATTCGCTTTACAAGAGGTTTCCATCGGGGAGACTAGGTGAGGGTACCTAGCATTTCTCTGTGTTGTTTCTTACAACCACATGTGAATTTTAATGACCCCAAAACAATAAATATAACTGGGGGCCTGCCTTTGACTCCTAGCTCCTCCACTTACTAACGGGGCCACTGGCAAGTTTTATAACCGCTCCATTTCCTCATCTGTGAACCGGGGGCAGTGACAGGACCCACCTCGAGGCACTGCCTTTCCCACGGGCAGGGCCTTGCCTTTTCTGGAGTCACTTCCCCTTTTGAAGTCCAACCCTGATCTCTAGCATTGGGAAGTTCTTCCAGATCCTCGGGCAGTCAGAGGGACTCTGTCCAAATCCCCCCGCCCTGTGGACCCCTCTGCGGCCACTCACTGAGCCCCGGCCGGTGCACCTCTCGCAGGGTGTGTGTCATGCCGGCCTTGTAACCCAGGAAAGCTGTGAGGTGCACGGGCCGGCTGGGGTCATCCCGAGGCCATGTCTTCACCTTGCCCCGGTGCCGGCGGCTCCTCTTGTGGGGCAGGAAGCCCAGGTGTCCGTGCCGAGGGGCAGAGAACTTCCGGTGGGACTGAGGACAAGAGAAGGTGGAGGTCGGAGCTGGGGTCACTCTGGTGAAAATTGTTGGATGGTCCCAGAGCCCAACCCAGAGAAAGGAGCTAGAGACCCGAGAGAGACGCTCGGTGGTCTTCCGTGCCTCCATCTGTCTGCAGTAAAGGAGGGGAAGGTGCGCCCAGGGCCAGTGTCTTATGAATGGGGTCAGCAACAAGTCCTCCTCACACACAGGTTTCCTGCCTCAGTGGGCTCAGCATGGCTGGGTCCAGGCTGGGGAGGCCCACATTGTGGCTAAGGCTACAGAGACAAGGGGCTGCTGCCATCCGCCCGTCTTCTTGCCTGTGCTAGGCCTGGCCGTCCAAGTTCTGGCCCCTGCGGTCCCCTCCGATCCCCTACTCCTGTTTAGGCCCCAGGACTATCCCAGCTGGGGGAGACTCCAAAAGCCCACCTGCCCCTCCCCAGGAAGCCGGCTTGCTCCAGCTCCAGCCCCCCAGCCCACTGACCATGGCCGCGGATCCCTGCAGGTCAGGGACGAAAGGGGCCTCCCTGTCGGGTGCTGGAGGTCGAGTGACAGGGCCAGGACACACAACAGCCAGATCCCAGATTTAGCCCCTGGCAGGAGAGCTTGGTCATCTCCCGTGGCGGGTGTGAGCTCTAGTGCCAGGAGCGGGCTTGGCCTGGGCGGGGCGATGGGAGGACATCAAATGGGCATGGCGACACTTGGAGCCAAGGCTGGCACTCCTCTCCTCAGAGGCCCTGGGCATGGGCCTTTGCTTTCTTTCTTGTGAGACTTGCTCCCAGGAACAGCTTGGCCTGGTGGGAGGCAGAGAAAATCTCCCGGGGGCTTCTCTAGGGCAGTTGCTGGGATGAGGGTCTGAGTTCAGTTTGCTGGCATTGAGGCATCCTGCCCTGAGTACTGTGAGCCTGAGCTGCAGGGAGATGGGGAGGACTGACTCTGTGCCCAAAGGATCCCTGGGGCCCTGATTCAATACCAGGATCCCTTGACGGTAATAGCTGTAAGCCAAGAACATTTAGATACTTTTATGGGCTGAAGTTTCTCATGAAAGGGGTATTGAAAGCTCTTATTTTTTATCCAAATTCTACGGTTATAAAGTTCTGTAGCTGCAGAACCAGAGTTTTATTGGCCTAAGATCTTTCTGAGGGTCTGGGATTTTGCATCCGTTTGTGCTAAGATCCTGTGCTACTGAAATATCACAACTCTTTGTTTTTGTTGGTTTCTAATTACAATGCTACTTTTTGTTGTTAATCCTCACCAGAGGATATTTTTCCCATTGGTTTTTAGAGAGAGTGGAAGGGAGGGGGAGAGAGAGAGAGAAACATTGATGTGAGAGGGTACACATGGGTTGGCTGCCTCCCACACCCAAGGATAGGAACCTGCAACCTTGACGGGAATCGAACCTGTGACCCTTTAGTCGGTGGGCCGACGCTCTAACCACTGAGCTAAACCAGGTAGGGCACAAAGCTACTTTTAATACTTTGGGCTGAGCCCCAAGGGAATAAAATCACAGGGAAGGGGTGACCCCTTCCACTGAGGGAATGAAGCATAGAAGAAACTGCTGCAGACTCAGGGCAGAGGGAACGCCATTGGTGCTGGAGCGCTATAGGGAGTTTGGGCGTGGTGGGACTGGCTCCAGGCACACAGGCCGAGGGCAGGAGGGCTGGACACAGAGCCACAAGCTACTTGGGTTCCTCCCTCTCATTTACCTTTTTCTGCCTCTGCTGCATGATCTGTGAGTCCCTCTGCTCCCAGCAGCAGCAGATGGTCCTCATCTCAGCACTGTCAGGTCATCATGGCAAAGGCAGAGGTTCCCTCGTTCCCTCTGATGTTGCGGGCCAATGTTATGATTCTTTGGGTCTGACAGTGTGTGATTCCAAGAGCTCATGATTTGAAGAGGTGGCATTTCTGTGATTTCAGATTCTGTGTGTCCGTAGAGTTGATGGCTCTGTGACTCTGGGCCCAGCCTTTGGACAGGAAATTGCTGGGGTCTAACCCCAGCAGGTCCAGGGGTTCCCAAAGGTGTAGACGGAGTCGGCAAAGAAGGAATGACACGGCCAAAACCGGTTTGGCTCAGTGGATAGAGCGTCGGCCTGCAGACTGAAAGGTCCCGGGTTCAATTCCGGTCAAGGGCATGTACCTGGGTTGCGGGCACATCCCCAGTGGG